GTGAGCCATGTGAGCCTCTGCAGTTGGGCCCATGATCTCCTGATCAAATGTTGCCATGGAGCACTGAGTTTCTTAAATTCCCCATTTCCCCCACTGCACAAAGTTAGAAAATCATTCTATCTCTTCTTCGTATCCAAGTGCTAATTTTTGGTTCATTTCTTTTATCACAAAGTTGCATTATTGACAAAATTGTAACCTATGTGCTTTTAATACAGAGTAAAGTTAAACAAAAAAGTGACTAAATATTACTTAGGATGCATGTAATACAAAAAAGTCTTAGCCCCCTAAATTGCATTAAGGAACAAAGCTCTTATCAATTTTTTCTCTTCTTTGGCTTTCAGATTTATCTGTAAGTTCCACATGAAGGTTATTATCGAATCATTCTTCAATGTCAAACAAGTATTGTGGCCAGAGGAGTGGGAGGATTATTGTGAGATGGGACAGGAAAGATGTTATTTGCCTTCATGTTTGTTGGCCCAGTCACGTTCCTCCAAAAAGAAATGAGAAAGGAGGAAGTCCCTATTGGATCAGTAGTTCTAAGATTAATGGAGTGAGAGTTGAGGTTTTTGTCAGGTGTTTTAATGTTCTTACTCCTGAAGTATTGGAGTTAATGGAATTTTAAATTAACATGAGAGAATATCAATTTGAATGAAATATATCACTGGATATAGGCATAAATATAGGCATTATCTTATTTCCTTCTGTTAGAAAATGTGGTAATAGCTAGTTTTAATCTTTAAAAGCAATCTTGAGCTTCTCTTGACTGGTTTAAATCTCCAATTATCTACTTATGAGTACATGAAGTATCTCCTGAATAGTACCTCTTCTCTGATTATGTATTTACTATTAACTTTGGATTATTAGGTTATGGTCTGTAGTTTGGGCAGTGTCAGAAGGAGCCAAACTGTAGACTTCAATAACAGTGTGTGGTCTTCTATTCTGAACTCCCTGTGGATAGCTCCCATTTTTCCTCAGCAAGAAAGCACTTAGGTTAATTGCTCCATTTCAAAGACATAGTAGCTCTTTCTGGTCTGTAAGTAGCCTTCCAAGCATAGCTGCTGAGGTTTGGAACACCTGCAGCCCAACCAATTTGGGGGAAAAAAAGAAAAAAAAAGCCATTAGTCTTCATGGGGAAAAAAAAAAAAAGGAAAAATGAAGTGCTAAAGTTCAGAATATTATCAATGATGCTGTGTTGGAGCAGCCTGAAAGATTTGGCTTTTGGTCTATGCCTGGTGCTATCCCAAACAACATATAAAATTCTTTGTGGGCCCATTTTAAGAGTGTCTTGTTCATTCAGAAGGGCTGTGTGCGCTGTTTGTTCCGAGGGCAGAGGCACCAGCCAACAGCTGATCCCTCCTCAGAGGGAAACATTGCCTAATGGTGATCACAGGAGCCAAAGACCAGGGGACAAAGTGCTAAAGATAAACAGCTCAATCCCCGACTGTTCCAGGCCTCAATAAAACCTCTGATTTACACTTTTGGGGTGGGACTGCGCTGTCCCCACCTGCAGGCTGGCCCTGGCGTGGAGAGGGGCTGGTGCTGTGCCCCCCAAGGATGGAACACTGCCCTTCTGTGGCCCCAGTCCCAAAATTTGCTCTGCACTTTGCTTTGTCACAGCCAGGGAAGGAGTAAAGGACCGTGGTGGTCAACGTGAGAGCCCACAGGGGCTGGATGCTCAATGGCACTTGAGGATGCTCCTCTGGGCTGATGGACTCAGAGGGGCTTTTTAGGCTGCCACAATGAAAGGCTGCTCCCAGCAACGTGGATAGTAATAAAAATACAGCCTGCTTTTATGCAATTATTTTATTTTACTTTGTTCTAACAAGCTGGACTGTTAAATAGTGACACTCCAAAAATTCAAGGGGCTGTTTTAACCTTTCTGAGCATTAACACAGTTCCTACCTTTCTACCCCAAAGATGTGAAAGTGAAGATAAGTCTCAAGGTTTCACCTCTCCTTTATATTTTTGTCTTTCTTTCATAATTAAATCTTCACCTGGCAGAAGTATTTGATCTGTGAAAGCTCACATAGGCTTGAGACATTGGAAGCTGGTGGGGTGGGTGATGAATTTAGTGAGTAGGTGGGTGCATTGGGAAAGGTTACTTTGAGGAGATTGTTTTATTCAATCTCTTGAAATACAGAGCAATACATCTTGTTTTAGAAGTACAGTGCTGCACATCTGTTATTAAGATTTGCCTTTAGAATGAATGGAGTGCGTGCAGTCACCTTATAGTGAATGAATAAGGAATATGCCCTTATTCATTGTCTGTATTTTTAATTTCTTTAGTGGTAAGCTGCTTGTTGTTATATAAGTAGGGAAGTCCTTTGGTCTTTTTTGCTGTATTCATGTTTGAACTGTGTGTGGTTTATCCATTTACTGAACACTGCAGTCAACTTTGTGTTCTCAGGACATAAAAGGGATGAGGGGAAAAGGGATTTGGATTTTTAGTTTGTTGTTGTAATTGTTTTGCTTTCAAAAAAAGCAGTAAGGTACAATATTACTGTTTGAAGTGATGTTTTTTTGTGCTGTGTAGGTCAGACTAATTTTCATGAAGGAGATTTTTCGCTCCTCTTGAAGAGAAGTATATAATAGGCATTGTATACAGCCAGGAGTCCTTGAGCTTTTGCTGATGGGTTGGAAGGGTTGAGTGCTTGGAGATGGAGTCTGTCTGAGCTCTGCTTACAGAGGCAGATCCTAAATGTGGAGTAATAAGTAATATACTCCTTTCAAAAGGCCAGTGAGCACTGTGGAGGAGATGAAAGCTGGGAGAAAAAAAAAAATCTTCATTTTATGCCTCTTTGGAAAATGCTTTTTTTCAGAGCTGCACAATAAAATTTGGAAAAGCAGGAAAACCATATTTTGCATTTGTTTTGAAATTTAGGTTATTATTCTTGGTTGTGTCTCCTCATTCTGTTGAATTTATGTTTTACCACAGGGGTACCAATAGCGTTGTCTAAACAAAACTTTCATTTTTAGCTGTGCTACATCACTGTAATGAAATACTGATGTGTGCATGGGAAACCAGTATCACTATATCAAGTGAATTTAGTCTCAGGCCTCAGAGACCTTGTTAGTGCACCTTTAAATAAATAAACAGGCTTCTTTCCTCTTCTACTCTTGACTTCACTTTTTCTGATTGAGGACTGACTGACGCTTCATGTTATATAAATAGAAAATCTAATATCGTTATATAAATAGAAAATCTAATTCTCTTGCTTTGTTTTTTGTTATAAACAGTCTGGGTTGATAAGAAAGCCTCTAGTGCAGGTGTTTTTCACTGAATGCCGCTCTACTTCGTGATCAAACTCACATAAAACAAGCAAAACCTTCCTGTTGAACTACACATATTTACATGAGTACCTTGTGTGCTGTCAGTGTTGTCTGCTACTGTTTTACAGTCTTTAACTGAAATCTTTCTAAAAACATTGTTTTTCAGAGGAGGACTTCTATTAAAATAATCTCACGAGAGGCTGTATTTTTCCATAATTATCAAGAAGCAAAAGGGAATCTGGCAGGCAAAGGACAGTCGTGCATGTGTGTGTGTGCTTGAGCATGCATTGCTTGTGTTTCCTGCCCCTTGCTCATTACTGACCCATGGCCAGGCAGTTAGTGCCCCACAAATCTTTAAATTGCCTTTATTTCTGGAGTCACCAATTGCAAAGGCACCCCCAACTATTTAATTAACTATTTAATTTTTCTGTTCTTGTTTACAGGTGCAGCGACACACTGTACATTTTCTGAAATAGCCAGCTGGTTAGTGATGGAACTAGAGATTTTTTTTTTAATTTTTTTTTTACTCAGATTAACTTCCCAATTTATGTTTTGGTAACTTTTCCGTTTCTGTTGCATTTTCAGGGAATAGAAAGCTGGAATATGACATCTGTAGTAGTAGATGCGGTGGTGGTTTAGAGATGCAAATACTAAAGCTTTATGCTTGAAAACCAATGCTTAAATTCATATATTTTGCTGCTTTTGAATGCTATGCACTTGTCTGGGCAAGAGAAAGGCATTTTGAAATGTTGTTGGGTGCAGAGTTGAGCAAGGGTCAGGAAGAGTTCAGTCAATTGCAGTTAAAGCTGCTCTTCCTAACCCGAAAATGCCAATTTTTGGGGAAGCCAAGGTAGTTAAATCTGTATCTAGGTTAATTTCTCAATGTCCAGGAGCAAAGAAAAACTTCCTTCTACTCCTGCTTGGAGAGCAGAGTCCCTTCAGGGCCTGAACTGGTCCTGGTCATGATTATTTACTGCTGCACTTTAGGTGGAAACCTCCATAGAGCATTTAATCCCTGCCCAAGCACCATTGTACTCAGTGCGTGTAGTTTAAATTTGAATGCCTCATCTGGGTTTTTCCTCCTTTTACATTCTTTTTTTAATCCTGTGAGTGAGCATGTAGCCTTTTCTCAGTCAGTTAGCTTGTGTATAAATACGTGGGATTCTTGAGAAGATCTTAGGTCAATCACAGGTTGCCAAGCTGCTTTTCCGTAGAGCAAAATACATTCACTGTAACATCATATATTCTGTTCCCTGCAGAATCCAGTGCTTAAGATACTTCCTTTGGATTGCTGGCATTTGCTACACCCTCTGCTTTGCTGTGAAGCTTAGTAGCAGCTTTCACGTGGCAGTCTTCCAGATGAATGTTGATTATTTTGAATTATGTTAAATATTCTGTACTTTGGGTGATAGCAGACAGTGAGCTAAAAACAGACCCATGGGGAAAAGCTTGGCTGTAGTAATTTCCTGTCCCCCAGCTTTCTGACAGCTTCTTAATTTGAGACTATTCAAATATGTTTAATTGTTGGCACTGAAACCTTATTTATTATAATCCAGTTTCCTGTTTGCAAGTATCACCAGTCCTCTGACAAACTGAATTTGGGGAGGAAAGTAGAATAAATTTGCAAGCATACTTTCTATATTCCCCACACATAACAACCCCCAAGCTAGTTGTGTAAAGCTGTTAACCACCCCAGTGTTTACAACAAGATTATCTTGCTTTTTAAACAGGTGTTGGGAAGATGGAGAAGACTTTGAACAGAATTCATCCAGTTTCTGATCCAGAAGCAACCTATTTTCTACAGGTGTCATGGGAAAAGGATTTAGGCACTGGCTTTGGTTTACTTCTTAGTGATTGTCAGTGTGTCTGGACTGGGACAGGTAATGGAAAGAAAAATACTTTAATTTAAATTATTACTGCTCTTAATTGCTCCTTTTAAAACACTTTCTAGCTGTGTACCACAACTTGTATGGTAATTCCATGGGTGTTTTGTCCCCAAAAAGGAGGAGGAGGAGTTCATGATCTTCTGGGATGTGGCCAGAGAACACTGAAATCTGGAGATTGTGTGTCAAAGCTAAAACTAATTCATTCAGCACATGGATATGCAATGTTTTGTTCTTTCTCAAGAATGTATAATTTCTTGGAGTGATGCTGAAGTAACACTTCTTTATTTTCTCCAGATTCTCAAACAAATGTGTACCAAAGTTCCATTTGCAAATTTGAGTCCATAAAGCTGTTATTTGCAGATGATTTTAAAATATTTTTGTCACATTTAAATAGCCAAAGGTAGCTATATTTCATAATGAAGTGAATTTTTGGGAAGGAAAAGGGATAACAGGACAATCAGTAGGAAAAACGTAGCCTGTGGGATTTTTTTGCACTCTCTAAAACCTCAGTAAGAAGATGGATCTTTGCATATGTGGCTGATTCTCTTATTCATAACCAGTGAAAAAAGGTTAGATTTGTGTGTTCTTGAGAAATGTTAAATATTTTCTCAAAAGCCATTCTCTCAGTAGCAAAAATAATTTGAAGGGAGGAGAGAACTATGTATTTTCAGCAAATTGTAGGCAAAACCATTTTCTGGACTGTCTTAAATAATAAGAAATATCTATGTAGTTCCTTTTTTCCTTCTTTCTCCTTACCCAGTGGATGTTGTTCCTCCTCAATTCCTACACAAACCAAGCTTTCATATAGGTCTGAGATTAGATAAATGTCAAAATCAACACTTAAATGAAATTTGCTCTTCCATATTCCTTTAAACATTTCAAACACTCCATTGATCAGGGGTCCCTGCACAAAGCAAATGCATGTGTTCCAATCCTGATTTCTGGTAGTGAAACGTTTTTCTTTCCTGGCTTGAAAATAGTAACATTATTTTGGAAACGACAAAAAGGGGGTAAACACTGGCAAATAACGTTTTTTCTGTTTGAAGAATCTTCTTATTCTGAGGTGACTTCAAGATCCCCAGTTCAGAATTCTCAAAAAGATGATTCTTATTTTTCCAAGTGAAGTCTGTGCTATTATAGCTGTAAGGGTATAAAAAAATAGGTAGACACAGTTCTCATTTTGTTGAATTCCTGCATCTGGTAGAATGTGGGATAATGATTTCCCAAAACAGAGGGGCAGTGAAAGCAGGATGACCTCACTCCATTAAAAAGAAAAGAAAGAAACACGCAACAATTCTGCTGTGAGCATTAGGTGCTCATCCAGAGGAAATTTTTTTGTTCTTCTGGAGAATCTGAGGAAGAATCTGATCCCTTTCTAAGAAATTCTTACTGAATTTCTAATCCCTTGAATAATTTTATTGGGGGTTGATGTTCTTGTGAATGAGGCTTTCCTACTGCACTGTGTTTTCATTCAACAAAACATTGATCTTGGTCACTTTCTAAAGTTATTACATCATTTTTGAGACTGCTTCCATTTTAAATTCAAAACCTGGAGGGAGGGAAAGCAATGGTCAGAATATACTTGCTGTGGGAAATCCCTTTTGGGTTTCTCGTGCTGTGGATTATTTTCTTTGGCAAGACCTACCAGGGAGAGAGTGAGAGTTGCTGATGGAGTTGTCTTTTATGGGTTTAGTATGTTTAATGTGATGATGAAATGTGTTAGGAGTCCTGTTAAAGAGAGAGGGGAAAACTGAATGTTGGAGGGGAGGAGAAGCACACAAATACACAATGTAATCTAGTGTCATACCTTGGTATCTGGTTAAAGAATAACATCTATGAGGATTTATGCATATCATATTTCCCTAATGATTAATCAGTTCTGCTGGTTTTAAATCATAAAGGAACATGCAGCATATACAGGAAAAAAAAAAAAAAAAAAACCAAACAAACCAACAAACTGCTCTATTGCAGTATTTTAGTGTCTTTCTTTTTATGACTTTCTTACTGTTACTAAAAGTTTATTTCTCAGTATTGAAATCACTGTTCCAGGCCAGCACTTCCTTTGTAAGTATTTCAAAATTACCTTTTTGTACCCCTCTTTGCCTCATGCTGCAAGGGATTCCACATTTCACTCTGTTCTGTTTTGGGTGAATTTAGGCAACTAGAATTGTGGATCACTAGCAATAAGGAAATAACCCATTTTCAGACAAGGAAAAAACGGGGACAGAACTTCTGAAAAACACAATATTTCTGCTACATTTCCACAAGTGGAAACAACACACCAATGTGTGTTCAAAGGAAGAATAATCTCCTAATATTTCATTGAATCACAGAATTACAGAATGCCTTGGGTTGGAAGGGACCTTAAAGGTGATATATATATATATATATATATATATATATATATATATATGTATATATATGTATGCATGTATACTTTAAGATATATATAGTAAATACATATAATATGTGCACTATTTATATATAAAGATATATAAATATAATATTTTATATATCTAAATGTATCTTAATAGATGATTTCTATGTAATGTGTAATGCATATACTTGTTCCCACACATATGAATATTTATTTCTCATATGTCTTTTTCTGGTATAGTGTCTGAATCAGACATTTCTACAGAGGCTGCTGACATAGAAATGGACAGAGAGAAATATGTGGGAGAGCTGAGGAAAGCACTGATAGCTGGAGAAGAGTCAGCTGGCAAATACAACTTTGTGATCTCAAGAGATGAGCAGAATAAGGTCTGTCACTTCTCCTATGAAAGGAACCTGAAAGACGGCTCTGTAAGTAGATGAATGTTTAAATTTAACTGTTAAACAATGAGAATGAAATACATTTTTGTATTTTATTATGGCCTTTAAAATCAGATGTGTGATACCCACTCCAGACTGAGTGTTTTGAGCTCTTGCATGGGCCAAGCTAGAAACAAAGTGGGTGGTTTGGGATGGATGCTGCCCTTTTCAAATTTTAGCCTCCTGTGCACTTTTGTTTTCCTTGTTTCTTCATCCTATTTCTGTATTACTCACCTAAATTAGAAAAAAAAATAAAATTCAGGCAAGTTATCAAATGCTAAAATACAGGTTTTTAAATTAACTTTTTAGCTACTTTAGATATTTTGTAAGCTAAGGCTGAAAATGTTGCATTAAATTGCAAATGGGAAAGTGGTTCCATGCTGCTTGCTTGGTTGCAAAGGGAAAGACCCTCTTAGAAAAGAAAGAAACCAGTATAATCTCTATCTGTAGACACTTCTGGATATTTCAGGTTGTGCTTTGCTGTTTTAAAGCTTTTCTGAAGAAGAACCTAATTTTTAAGGTGAATATCCCAGTTTGTAATTTTTTTTTTTAATTGTTTTACATGTCTTTGTGCAGTATAGGAAATTTCTGCTGAGTTTGGCTCTTTAGGGCATGTAAGTCTGCCAGTCTGCATTCTAAGTATTTACCCAAGGCCATACTGACCCTAAATCTCGTGAGCTGTTTGATTGTTCACAAAGATTTTGCAAGTTTAGGACCAAACTATGCTTAGAAATTGAGAGCAGTAAGGTTAAGGATCCTTTTTTCTGTTTCTGCTCTGTGTCACACATGTTCTAAATACAGGCCAGATTAAATGCATTCTGTATTTTTATTAAGTGAAAACATCCTCGTGATTGTGGGGTCACCTAATACATGTTTCCATCAATTCAGGCTTATGAGAAATTTAACTTGTATGAAAACAACTTTCTGTCAATGTGGGAAAATAATAATCTGGCCAAAGAAACTTGAAAATACAAAAAACCTTGATTCCTATGTATGCTTTAAACTTTGAAAGAATGTTTTTAGCTAAGATAGGATTTCTTGGGTGAAAATGCACCTTTTTTTTTTCCTTCCTTCTCTCCTAAACTAATTCCTACAAATAAAATTACCAAAGCGTTATGTAGAATTTAATAGTAGAATTAGGCATTAGAAATAGCTTTCAGGTGTGTAACAGAATATGTTCTAAACGTTTTTCAAACTCTCTGTGGAAGTATTTGTGATCTCTCTCTTTCAGCATTACATTAGGAAATTAATCTTCCTGGGCTCTGTACATCCAGAGGGCTGATATTCAGCTAAATTATAAATAATAATAACTAAAACAGCAGTAATAAAAATAAAATACAACAATAATAAACTATAATAATAAAATATAATAACAATAACAATAACAGTAAATTCAGGGAAGCCTAGAGAAACTACTCTGCAGCTTAAACACGACTTAAACTCAGTGCTTATCTATTATCAGTTTAATTATTAACAGTTTTCAGTAAAAAAAAAAAGCAAAACCTTCTGAAATGCATTGTTACTCTTTGAGCTATAAAATGCTTATCAGTCTCCATGTAAGTAAAATTGCAAAATCTTTTCATGAAATTGGTATATGGGTGTCTGAGAGTAAATTTTGTAGTCTTAGAAAATCAATAATATGCCTTGCCTTATTTTTTAGAAATACATGCATGCTTATATCCATAATTCAATTATTTTTATTATTTTTAATGAGACCTGCCTAGAACATGATGCTGATCATGATTTTTAGAGCTGAGCTCTGTCATAATTTTGCATCCCACATGGGGATGACAAATCTCTGAGCTAGATACTGATTTATTCTTTTCATGGCTGTACCAAACTGTGGTATTTGAAGTAAGTTTTACCTTCTTTGCAGCATCTTGCTAAAGCTCTGCTTCCATAAAGTCTAATTATGTGCCAAAACTGTATTGGGTGGTCTGTGGGAGTGCAAATAGAAATTGTGGGGTGGTGTTATGCAAAGGAAAACATAGGTATATTACAGGAAAATGCTTTCTGATATGGAAATTTGTTTTATTGCTCACGTGTTTTCTGGAGGAATTGGTGGCAGCCCCATTGTGCCCCTTGCTTTGGAAGGGACTGCAATGAAAAATGCATTTGAATTATCTGCACTGCCAGTGTAGCACATTTGATGACTTAACCAGGTGTTTGATTCACCTGTTGCTCAGCTGATGAACACACAGGTTCCTGCCATGACCTGTAAAAGGATGTGCTTACACCTCCTCCTGCCCTGCTTGGGTGGAATGAAACCAAACCTGTATCTTCATATCATTTTAAAAGTCTTTATAATCGGTACTGTACAATAATGATGTGTATTAAGGTTTTTATAATGGATGAGTGCTGATGGTTTGGGTTTTGCATGGATGGAAAACCTCCCCAAGTCATGAAGAAGTGCCTGATTTAGAGGGAGCACAGTGTAACATGTTTGTTTTGTAGTGCCTGTAATGCTTAGAAGTAACAGAATAAGAAAAATAATAAGGGTTTTAGTACTTATTTATCTCGAAATGTTGTTTTGATGAGAGATAATGATGTCTGAGCTTTAGAAACACTGGTTCTGGCAGGATGTGCAGCTGAGCCTAAGAAGTTGTGCCTTTAAAACTCCTGACTCGTTTGGTGAAAATCCCAATGTGTTTTTGTGAGAATTCCAACGCGTTTGGTGAAAATCCCAGCCACCTCTCAGGACAGGTGGCTCTGCCTCTGGGAGCCGTGTCTGGGTGCCTGGGGTGCGGGGAAGGACCCTGGAATAACAATGTCTGTGCAGCACAGTGGGAATTGTGTGCGGATCCAGCTGCAGCCCCGGACGGGCCACACACACCGAGACCCCGGCCAGGCTGGTCCAGCTCAACTGCTGCCACCTAAACAAACACCAGCCACAGAGGCAGTGATTTAGTGCTTGATCTAAGTAGGTGACCACTGGGAAGTAAATCTTTCCAAGTGCTTCAGCGACTCACTCCACATATAATAAATAATGGAAATCCGGCAAGCTCTTTCTTTTTTTTCTTTTTTTTTTTTTTTTTGGGGCTGGCAATTAAATAGACTAAATAGCCTTTGATAAACAATTACTTGAGTGCTAGCAGTCTCTTTTTGTACAGTAATGTGACAGGCTCTGGGGTTTTTTTTCCTTGCCTTTTGCTTAAGTTTGTAAACAGGGAGGGTAAGAGCTTAACAAATTCAACCTTAGATGCAGCACTGTTGCTAATTAGGATGGGAGAGATGCTGCTATTTGTCTCCCCCATTTCCTGTGGCTGCTTTTCCCTGGTCGGGCTTGTGAGTTCATTATAAGTTTACTAAAAGTTGAAAAAAAAAAAAAAAAAGCTGGAGAAGCTTTTGCTAACCAAAATGCCAAATGAGAGAAATGTAATGGGTAGAGCTCTTTGTGCTGTCCAAACTGTCTTGGTTCAAGGTCTGAATAGTTACTTTGCTTCGAACCACTGAGGATGTGTTGTTTGGTTAGCAAAGGTCACTGAGAGTTCAGGTTGTTTCCCAGGCAATTCGACCAGCTGAGGAGAGAGGAAGATGAAATGATTAATCCTTAGGCCAGTGTGAAGGTAATGACTCTCATATCACTTATATCACTTAATGTCTATGTACTTCAAGACCTGAGAGTGGACACTTGAACAGATTTCTTGAAAGCCCATTTTAGAAATAGCTGGCTTCTAATGCACCCTGTGTAATAGCAACATTAAGTGTTATCTTGTAAGTAATCTTGGAATTCTGAGTGCCACATGATTTTCCCCATCTCACCTCGGGTGTACCTTCAAGTTTCAGGTACACTGGAAATGCAGTGCATCACTTCTGTAGCCTTGAGATAAGAAAAGAAAAAAATTTCTTTCTGAAAAGAAAAGAAAAGAAAGAATTTCTTTCTTTCTGAAAAGAAAGAATTTCTTTCTTTCTGAAAAGAAAGAATTTCTGAAATTCTTTCAGAAAAGAATTTCAAGGAAAAAAAAAAGAAGAATTTCTGAAAGAATGATTCCCTACCACATTAGTGGGTGTACAGTACACCTACCAGGTGTAGCTATAAAAGGTGTGACAGATGTTTTGGTGAATTAATTAAGCTCTGCTATTTTCCTTGCTTAGCCATTAGATTATGTATTTGATTGCTGCTTCTGATAAGCAGTAGTCTGGAGAAATTAATTTTAAATACTGGTAATTTATGCCTTTAAAACTGGTATTGTTGAAAAAGGAGGAATCAAACACTGTGATGAATAAATTATCTTCATTTTTTTTTTTTTTCTAAGCCTGTTAGGATCTGTGTATTTCACTGGACCTATCCAGTTGGACAAAAATGGTAGTTTAGTTGCTTTAAGACTTACTGTAAATTAAACTATAAAGGGCATGTTCATATTTCTTGAGTACAATGAGAGTCTAAACATATTTCAAGTATACATAAAGTGTGCATAAAATAACAGATTTGGACTTGTGCAAGAAAAATTGTCAGTTATTCTTTCTCCCTCTTGGTGTTATTGTGTTGTCTCCCCTCCCCTCCTCGATTCTTTCAGATTTTCCCTTTTTGCAATACCTGCTGAGCATTTCAAATCCCTCTGTGGACATCAAGGCTTGCTTTCATTTGCAGAACGGAGTACAAATGCTTTCCTTTTAGGAGGAAGAAATCTTTAAATCATGGCATATTGGCAAGCTTTAGTTTCCCAAACACAAATTACAGGGGACAGTAGGTGCTCTGGAAAAGAGATTACTGTGTGTGGGCTCTGAACCTTCACTGCAAGACCCCAGTCCTGTATTTCTGTGAAGATGAGCAGCAGCCAGGGCTTGAAAACCACAGAGAATCTCACCAGTGATTTCTCTTCAGAAACCCTCTCACAGCTCCAGAGGAAGCATTCATCTTTCTACCTGCAAAGGCACAGGAGAGCTCTCAACCTCCTGTTAACTCTTAGGTTCACTAAAATAGCACCTTTTCCAGTATAAAATATTGAATGGATATGTCTAAAGCCTCAGAGCAACTTCAGCACCTCTAT